ACCTGCCAGTCAATCCCAACCTCAGATATCATTTTGATTATTAAAACGTAAGCGCTATCAGAGTAAGGATATCGATAAGGAAACATCAGATCCTCTCTCTCTCCCCTCCCCCCCCCCACCCTCAGAGACAACAGTGGATCACTTATAATGAGCTTCGGGACACACAAAGGGATCGGAATGCTTTGATAAGAGGATCGGGGCCAATATTAGGGAGTGTTTTTGTTTTTGTTTGTTTTTGTTTTTTTTGGCTGTATTGTCCGTGTCTTGATTCCGCTCCTCTCGTGGTTATTACCGCGCGGAGGTTCCTTCTCGCTCTCTCAGCTCTCTCTAGCTCTCTAAGCTCCCTTCATTATCGTTGTCTCTTGTCTCTGTCTCTGTCTCTATTTCTACTTCTACTTCTACCTCTACATTTATCTCTATCTCTATCTCTACCTCTACCTCTACTCTATCTCTCTCTCGGTCTTGCTCTCTCTCTCTCTCTCTCTCTCTCTCTCTCTCTCTCTCTCTCTCTCTCTCGCTCTCGCTCTCTCTCTCTCTCGCTCTACTCTATCTCTCTCTCGGTCTTGCTCTCTCTCTCTCTCTCGCTCTCTCGCTCTCTCGCTCTCTCGCTCTCTCGATCTCTCGCTCTCTTGCTCTCTCGCTCTCTCGCTCCCTTGTTCTCTCGTTCTCTCGCTCTCTCGCTCTCTCGCTCTCTCGCTCTCTCGCTCTCTCGCTCTCTCGCTCTCTCGCTCCCTTGTTCTCTCGTTCTCTCGTTCTCTCGCTCTCTCGCTCTCTCGCTCTCTTGCTCTCTCGCTCTCTCGCTCTCTCGCTCCCTTGTTCTCTCGTTCTCTCGCTCTCTCGCTCTCTCGCTCTCTCGCTCTCTCGCTCTCTCGCTCCCTTGTTCTCTCGTTCTCTCGCTCTCTCGCTCTCTCGCTCTCTCGCTCTCTCGCTCTCTCGCTCTCTCGCTCTCTCGCTCTCTCGCTCTCTCGCTCTCTCGCTCTCTCGCTCTCTCGCTCTCTCGCTCTCTCGCTCTCTCGCTCTCTTGCTCTCTTGCTCTCTTGCTCTCTTGCTCTCTTGCTCTCTTGCTCTCTCGCTCTCTTGCTCTCTTGCTCTCTTGCTCTCTTGCTCTCTCGCTCTCTCGCTCTCTCCCTCTCTCCCTCTACCTACCTACATATTTTCCTACCTACCTACCTACCTCGCTCTCTCCCTCTCTCCCTCTACCTACCCATTAACCTACCTACCTACCTACCTATATATCTATACATCTACATATCTACCTATCTACCAATCTATGCAAATATATATACACATATTTTCTCAAGAGATTCCATATCAACTAACGTATGCATGTAACAAACAAGGATATAGGAACACAATAAACTGTATTTCGATTAATCAGTTAATCTATCAGCCGAGGATACAGTGTACATGCACATCAAATTAGAATAGTAGAAAAAAGGGGAAACTAATTATTAATAATAATTCTTATCATTATTATGATTATTATGATTATGATCATTATCAATATCATTATCATCCTTCTTCCCTTCTATTCCTATCCGTCTCCCCAACTCTTATTATTCCTCCTAATAATAAAACTTCTTCTTATCAATCATTATCATCATCATAATATTAATAATAATACTAAAACCTATCATTATCATTATCATTATCATTATCATTATCATTAACATCCTCATAATACTAATACTAACACTAAAACTAATGCTGAAACTTATCCTAATACTAACAACAACAACAACAACAACAACAACACAAACAACACCAACACCAACACCAACAACACCAACACAAACACCAACAACAACACCAACACCAATAACATCAACCACAAAACCAACACCAATAACATCAACCACAATACCAACACCAATAACATCAACAACACCAACACCAACACCAATAACATCAACAACAACACCAACAACTCACCTGAAAATGCCACAGTAGGTGTGATCGAAGGCCTGGTCGGGTGGCACAACCCTATCCAGGAATTTGGGCGTGAGGGTGAGCGTGGACACCGCCTGGACGAGCCAAGTGTCCCCGAGTTCACCCTGTTCAACGTCGAACTTGGTTGCTCCGTCGGCAATGAACTTGGGCCTCGCACAGATCTCCTAAGGGGGGGAAGGGGGAGGGGAGAAAAGAAAGGGAAGAAGATTAGTGTTTGGTTGTTTTTTATTATTATTTACATGAGTTTTTTTATATTTATTTATCTTGTTTCTATTTCACAATGGTAGTAATTGAGGAAATGTTATATAAAGATCGGTAAGAAACAAAATTACGTATATATCCCACCCTAAAATAAAATAAATAAATAGATAAATAAACAAATAAATAAATAAAACAACTATCCCATAATTCAAAAAAATCCCCCCCATAAAAAAAAAATGCATCAAAAAATTTGACGAATCAAAAAAAAAAAAAAAAAAAAAAAAAAAAAAAAAAAAAAAAAAATTCTTCGGCCGACATCCTTCCTATCTCTTTCCAGAATTCGTAAAAG